TATCTTTCCACATATATATAATTCCAAAGGTTAAAAATATGCAATATGTGGTGTACATAAAAAATTTGTCAGCATGAATCTCGAGAAGATCTAACGGACTAAGAGACGAAAATGTACAACTAGGAAAACTCACCTACAGGAGACTTAAAGAACCATTAATGGTATATTGAAGGACTTGCTTACTCAAGTGCAGCAATAATATATTATATTAATTATATAACATATATTATATAAATATATAATATCTATATTAGTATATTAGTATATTACTAATATAGCATATTAATAAATTATTATTTTTAATTTATTATATATTATAATTTATAAAATTTAATTTTTTTAAATATCATAACTTATATATATATATAATTATTTTATATTTCGAATAACAATGATTCGAACAAGAACGAACATATTACTGTTCGTGTTTGGTTCGTTTAACTAACCGAACGAAAAAAAATTTGCTCACGTTCGTTTCATTTACTTATCGAACGAATCGATCACGAACTCATTGACAAACCGAACACGAGCTGTTCACGAACAACAAGCTTTTTTGACAGCCCTATCACTCACACATGAGCTCTTATTACGTACGTGCGTTACATATGTTTAATCGCGGTGATATTACTATGTGAGTGATACAAGTTGATAAAAAAAAAAGGCATGTTTTAATAAATACTATTGAGTAGGTACAACATGCATTTGATCTGAAAGTACATAATGACGCACTTGAGCACTATCCAATATAAAATAAAACACACATAGTATATTGGTTTCAGAGTATCAAGTGAGCAGTGATATGTTCAGTAAAAACAACTCCCGATTAGACACAAATCTTAATGCAATTTTTAAGGTATATATAGTCCGCGTCTAAATAGACTCAAATAATATATTTGAAATGCAGTTAAAAATTTTGAGATGATAATTGAAGGGTCAAATAAAATTTAAATGTTGCATGTCTATAATTAAATCAAACTTTGATAACCATCTCCATAAGCAATTGTCTTCTAATTATTGTCACATGACTGTTCACATTCAACCATTATCATTATTTGCTTATATTGCAATCATAGGAGATTGAACTAGTGTTGAGTGTATTAATTTTTTTATTCAATGATCTTTTAATTAAGGAGAAAAAACTAATCCTATAATGTCAATTACCATTGTAATTAGTTTTATGTGGACAAAACCCTAACATCTTGTTGTTGTTTTTTTTTTTTAATTTTCTTACATAATAACTTGTTGTCTCATTTATTTTTCCTATTTATTTTCTTGTAGATAAGTCTTCATACAATACTAAGATATAACTCCCATATATATATATATATATATATATATATTATATATATATATATATGCGAAACTTAGCTAAGTTGGTCTTACATCTGCTTGCCAGTTGTAAGTTCTTTCTGGTATGGGGTTTGATTTCCCCGAATGTAGGATGTGTTACTTGAATTATTAGACACACGAGGGATAGTGGAAGCTTGTATAATTGCCTCCGGCTATTATATATACATACATACATACATACATATGCATAATCTAACATTCCATCTCCCTGTTTAGCACTAAAATTAATGAGTCTTACTTCCTTCCATCAACTTGCTATATCACCTCTTTCTCCATCGTTGATCTTCATCAGACTGTCTGCTTTAGTGCTTTATTCCTTTTTATTTCACTTTCCTCATACGGGTACATAGACTGCATTGGTCTTAGAGAAAGCAAACCCTAACACACCCATCTAATACTAATAAATTAACCATACAAACATGAATCATGTGCCCTCTTCTTTCACCTTCTATCTCACTTCATTCCTATTTTACATTATGTTTCAGTACCTGCATATGTGTTCTTCTTCTACGAGCTGGACTATATAGCCAGTTAAAAGGTAATTGGTTTTTTTCCCAAAAGACTTCCTATGGCGCCGCATGGATTTTAGCGTGACCATACCTTCTTATTCTAGTTAGCATCGCCCTTCAACTTTCTCTCTTGTCTCTCTTAGCTCTAGCTATATCTGTCTTTATAATAAAGAGGGGTATACAGAACATGGGACATGGATGACGTCAGCCCTAATAAAGAAGTATGGATAGAGTGAAGTGGTGAAGCAGAAAACTGCCCTACAGAAAGCGATGTCTGCAGTGAACTCATATGCGATCTCTTGTTTTTATGTGTGTAGCTTCATGCACATTATGATATCTGATTAAAGGTAACATGGAACGTTGGGCAAAAGAAAGGTTGCAACTAGTGCTGCTCTTGCTCTCTTTCTGACCACGAAGGCCATTAGCACAGAAGTTGGATTGGACTAAACAGTATGCTTGAAAATGACCAATTAGGAGAACTAGATAAACAGGTAAAGACTACTGGTAAAGAATACTTTCAACTCAATTCTTTTAACATTTTCATTTACATTTTCTTCTGATTATTTTCTCTCATTCAATTCCTTCGAGCCAAATTGAACCAATCTATATATGAATAATGCCTGCGGTTGCCTGTGATTGAGCGAGGCTAAGAAAAAAAACTTCCGGTGGATCGCAACAATTAGCCGTAGGTGAGACATGTGCACCTAATAAGTCCTCTAGAAATAGGGTTGTAAAAGAGTCGAGCTTGAGCAAGCTAAGGCTTAACTGATGTTCGCCTTGTTTGAAATTGCTCGAGAATAGTGTATCAGCGTTCCCTAAAATTTTTTTTTTTATGTTATGTACCTAGCACCCTAGCGCCTAAAAGATATATGCTAATGCAGAGATCAGACGGCCAAGTTTAGAAACTTAGACCATGTCCCACCTTTAAGACCAGCAGTGCCACAACACTCAGTCTACATTTAGAACCTGCAGAGAGTTTGACACTACAATGCCCTTGATGCAGTGCCCCATAACCCATTGGAATGTCGCAACACCATATCATACGCGGCACCCCACTGCTCGTAACCCAATTTGAGCAGTTTTTACTTATTGTATTTTCCTTGCCTACGAGAGCGTCTTGGTTGTCTTTGTCTACGAGAGTAAGAAGGGTTCCAAAAGATGAAGAGGCTTGAGTGTAGTGTAATTTATATGATTCTCCTTATTTTTTTTCATAGCGAGTTCCTCTTTTAAAATTATATATTGTGGAATAATTCTTTGGTCAAAATTTCATAGGTTTTAGGCCTATTGAACTTCAAATTTATCAGCTCAAATTCCGATCTTGCACACATTTTAAAATCATTATCATCAGTTACAAATTTGAATAAAAGATTGAAGTTTGCCTTAAATAGTAGTGAATATATAATTAAAAGTATATAAAAAAGACTTTCTATTATTAATGATGATGACATTGTAAATGAGGTGATCAGTATTTAGGCTCTTACAATTAAATTGATGCAGCTTGATGGAGTCGGTTCCTTATTTCGTATAAAGTAGCATTGATTTAAATAGTTTTAAGTTCCAATAGAATGAGTTATGATTAGATATGCATGTCATGATAGATAATGATGGAAGAAGAACTTATACTTAGACTCTTGATTACTTATACATACCCTTTTAATACAAAATTAATGCTTATGAAAATGAGAGCGCTCAAAATTATTTCAAAATGGGTCTACTAATTAAATCATAACTAAACTTCTTCTTAATCAAGTAGGCAAAATCTTTCTAAAAATATACAATTTAATCATAGGAGGGATAAATTAATGGGCATTCTAAAAGTAATGTTCATGAAAAATATATATATTAAGAAAAAAATACAAGTACTAAACAACAATTATGTATTAAAGATTAATACCACATAATTAAAAAAAAAGAAAGATTAATTACTACATTTACCATTAAAATGTCTTCTTTGAAGCCATGACTAAAGTAATGATTCCAATTAATATGCTTTATTATACCTTCTTAACTATCTTCATAATCACCCATATACTAAGTACTTCCATTTCCCATTGAAGGAGAGTTACCAAACCCTAATACTTGACCAGTTCCACTATTGCTCATCCATCCTTCTCCTCCATTTCCATTAATGCTTCCACCAACACTCCATTCTCTTTCATGATAACCGTTCATCTCAGCCGCCGTGACGGCCGCCTCCATTCCTCCCAAGTATGCCAACCTCCATTGCCCGAAACCCTGCCCCGCATGCCCGTCCTCTTGCAATTGGCTCCACGGCACCGCCGGCCCGAACAAGGACAACGGTGGCGCAGCGCGCAGAAGTGCCAAGTTCAATCGGGACACAGCAGATGATTCTGACGGTTGAAGCTTCGGTGACGTCGAAGTGGTCAAAGATGACGACTTTCTCTACTTTTGCTACGCCGCCGCCTGCCGCCACCGACCGGAACGTTCCGGAGGGTGCCTCCACGTGTCCAATATCGGCGGCAGGTTTTGCAGAAGTGGCGTGGTTGAGTGAGAGAGTAGTTGTTGAAGTAACAGAACTTTGTGTTGTTGGAATGGCAACGAGGGCAACTTAGAGCGGCTTCTGGTTGGGGGATTTTGGCTAGCCTGGCCCGTTCAGTCATGGATACCGGCCTAATTGGGCCGGATCCAGTTGAACCGGCCGGAGGGAGCGGCTGTTGATCATCGGATGTGGTGGCGGTTGCTTGATGATGAGCCTGCACTAGCTATCAAAACAACACAATTAATAGCGAAGAAGCATTTGCAGCAAGCTAGGATATGATGAAAAAAAATACATTTTTTTTTGGATTTTTTTCCTTTTTAATAAAGAAGGCAGGTTATGATTATGAGTTAAGAATGAAGAAGGAGGGAGATGAAGTTAAGACACCTGGGTCCAGTTGTTGGGTGGATCGACATAGAGAGGAAGGGAGGGGAAAATCATGGCGAGTGGAATTGGTTAAAGTTTTCTTTTTTTTTTTTTTTGGCTTGAAAAGGTTGATGGGTTTATAAAGATGGTAGAGAGAATCACATATCTTTCCACAAAAGAGAGAGAGGAGAGGGGAGGTGCTTTTGCTTTTTTGTTGCTATTTCTTAGCCTTTAAGCGACATTGAGATCACATCAGGGATTGGCAATGCTGATCAGTTTTAAGTGGTTGTTTAGAGAAAAAATACTATCATATGTGTAGATGATGGCGTGAATCTTATCATATCTTACTTGATGATATGATATGATCAACGCCGTGGTCCGTATGTCCTCACAACTATCATCCAAACTTAATATTCTCTTATTTATCCCTGCTGGTTGCAAGTTGCTTGATTATGCATGATGGACTTGATTGTGCGTGACACACATCTGGACGACGGTATGAATCGCATTACACTATTTGCACCACATGATGTGATTCAAATTATGAGCCTTATGTTTGATTTGACACAATGAACTTAATCGTCTTCTGAATTGATTTTTTTATAATTTTTTCCTGCCGAGACTTCCAAAAGCTCTTGGATTTTTGTTAAGAAGATGTATAAGAATGGAATTTGTTACCTTCGTTTTATGGAACATTTGATGCTAGTAGGTGCATGCATTTAGAAATTTATTTTTGATATTCTTATTCTTTTTTTTTTCTCATGAATAGAATATTATATGCATATGATAAAGTTCTTATAATTAATACGGTTTTTAGCACTTTAAAAATAGAATTAATACTAAATTATTTAAAATGATATTTATATAAGTACGCTATATAAATAAATATAAATATTTTGGTATAAAATTTAAATATATAAAAGAATTTAATAATATCGTATTATTTTAATTAAAGGAGCCTCGCAAATGAAAGTCAAAATATCAACATGTGAGACCTTATATTTATAACAATATATACAGATATAAATATTTTCATTCCAAGTTCAACTTCTGATAATGAAATTATAATATTTGACAAGATGAAATGCGCAACGAAATAGATGAAATATGAATCATACCTTCAATGGAGCTCCACTCCACTGGCAGATTCATCTCTGATTTCATTTTCTGAACAGAGAGCTGCCATTGCGCAGTATGTTGCACCACCTATCACTAAGATAACGCCATATAATGAGACTCAAAGAAGTGAATGGATTAACGGCTATATACACGATCCACATGTTTCTGCTCAGATTTACAAAACAAAGGACGATTTACATACATAACCGACACAATTCTCATGTATTTACATGTCTAACACAAACTTCAATTTTTACATATATGCCACCATGCCTAAGCATGAAAAGCTGTATTTCACTTTGTAAAAGTTAAAATAGCAGTATTTTTTATGTGATATGAAATATTTGGATGGTATAAATGTAAAAAGAAAACTTTAGGTGCTAGATATGTGAATGCCCCAAGAAAGAACTGCCTCAGCAACTGAAAAAATTAAAACCACTGCCTGAAGATGGAATTTTCAGTGTGGAGTAAACAAATATCACTTTTCTAAATCAGTCGTAATTATTTACATTGCCTTGGTCTGAAGTTCTCCGCATCCAAGAGCTTCAAAAGCAACCCCTCCAGCCTTCTTGAACCTGCAGTTGGTCTGATAACATTAGCCTCCCCAAGAACACTACAAGGATCCAACCACTCCTTCGAGCTTCCCAAGCACCATCCACCTGGAGTGAATCGGCCACTCGACTTCTTTAAAAGTTCGAGGTCAATCTGATCGAGAACTGGAGAATTTTCGACGAAAGTGCGAGCAAAGGGAGCTCCGCTGTCGACCATCAGCCTAAAATGCTCCAAAGTCAAGTTCATGGGGCTTTGGCGAGGCGGTTCATTCCACATTTTAAAGCGAAAATCATGGTTCACAGTGGTATTTTGGAAATCCATTGAATTACAGATAACAGTGTGGAAGTAGCCTTCAATGGAGGATAAGAAATTTGTGTAATACATCAATAATGTTCGAGGAAGATTATCCCATCCCAAGATGCAAAATTCAAGAAAAGGCCAGCTTAAAATTACAGATGAGGAGCCTGCAGTCAGGAAAAACAAATAAATTCTTGATGAACCCGAGACATTCTGTGGTAGCTGTAAGCTTGTAATATTTACTGAATCTAAGAATTTTTCACTGGACAACAGAACCGGATCCTTCATTTCTCATAGAAAATAGTTGTAATTTGAAAAGTTTAAGATGGAATTTGAAAATTTATCCTAAATACATTTGTTGAAACTTGCAGTTGAGCATTTACACTACAAATGAATTAAACAATGCATAATTTTATTCTGGATGAATCTGATAAAGCATAAATTGAACAATTCATTATTGACAGAGACAAATAAACAAAAAGTTATAAAATCACTGTTTTTCTAATAAAATTATTTCGCACTTAATTCTTTCTAGTTTTACAATGCGTCAGCAACTTGGTTATAACTTTCTTATTAGAAAGTTGACACTTAGGATCCACATAGCATCATTGATCTATTTGAAGTTATATAAAAGTCAACTTTATAAGTCTGCAAGATAATATTTTATTGCATATATAAAAGTCAACTTTATAAGTCTGCAAGATAATATTTTATTGCATAATTTTCTCAAGGTACTTCATTTTTACCTCTCAATTTTATCCAAGATGTTATAAATCAAATCAACTCGACCAATCCAACCGACTCAATCATTGGCCGGTTGGTATTCAGTCCACACTTAAAGCCATTTTTTTATTTCCGGACAACTTATGAGCAGCATGATAGCTTCACAAAATAGGCAGTGAATGTAACATACGAGCAGTTGGAAAACTCGAGCGAACCAAGCCAAGATGAGCTAGAAGTTGTTTAAGCTCGAGCATGTTACTAAAAGCTTGCTCTAGCTTAGCTAGAGCTTGATTTGAGCTTTTGTATTAGTGTTCAAGTAAGGCTCGTCTAAATTCATCTTTTCAAGTGTAGCTTTAGCTAGGTAAATTTTGGGCCTATCAAGCTTTAAACAAGCCTTTTCGAGCCAAGATTACAAGATAAGACCAGAAATTATGAGCTTTTAAAATGAGTTGATAAAATAAGCTTTAATTTAAAAAGTTTTTAGGACAACCCTTCTATGATCCCTTCTAGCATATCTGCCTCATTTTCTCAAGAAATCCCACCAACTCTCAGCATATCTCCAACACAAGTTACAACTTAAACCCTGCTCGAACATTGCTCAAATCATAATTGAATTTTGTTTGAACCAAACTCAAACCACACTGGAACTATGCTTGAGCCATGCACAAATAGTGTTTGAATATTGCATGAATCTTGCTCAAATAATACTTGAACTTTCCTGAAGGCTCAAGTGTAGAAAGGTGGAATAGTTCTTAATAAAAAGTGGGGACATAAGCATAAGAATAACATTTTATCCTGATTCAAACTTTCGAATACATTTCTCTAAAAAAACCAAACAAAACGCTTATTTGACCAATTGAGGTTACAATGAGGAGAATATAATCAATTTTCTATATATAGGTATGAGAAAATTTGACTTCATATTGAATATTATATTGAGCTTTAATCGAGCTTGTCATAAGCTTTGACCATACAATTCATGAACAAAAACAGATAGACCAACAAGATGTTCAGGTTAGTTCATTTACCAATCGAGTATTCATAAAACTATAAAAGTGTTCAAATTTATTCGATTAATTAATCAAATAAATTATAAAGATTGTTAATTGAGTTGAGCCATAAGTAGCTTATCAAAAATTTAGTTCATTTGCAACCTTAGGAAGGTACAAGTTACACAAAAAATTTTATGACATAACTCTTAGCCTTCTATAAGATTAAAATCCTAAAAATAACAATAAAAGTTCAAAATTATTATAAAAGAACTTTGAACTAGTACTATGGAATGGAAAAGTCAAAAATAAAGGAAAAAAATGTAATAAGCCAACCGTGTAAAGAAAAAAACAAATAACGATAGTAATTGTCCCCAGAAAATTTAGTAGCATTGATAAGAACACTTAAAAATCTAAAGTTTCTAAATGGTCTTCAGATATATATATATATTTATTTACATGTAATATATATTATTATTATTTATTGCATTTTCTTATATAAAATGTCACGTGTAATATATTAATTATATGGTGGGTGGGAGTCTGGGAGAGACATTTCCATACCTTACATGTAAAAGTATATATATATATATATATATATATATATGGTATAAGTGGGACAAAGAGAGCGTAAAATGAAAGTGCCATGAAAAGGATTCATTTTAAAATTGTGTTTCAAAAAATTTTCAAAACAAAGAAAACATCTCATACAAGAATTTTTAAAATCCTCAGTTAAGATGTTTTCCAAATTTTGATGATGGCAGACCAAAATTTTACAGTTAAACACAAAAAAAAGGAACATCAAAGTGGAAATAATAATTATTTCAAATCATTTTTTAAAAACTTTACCTTAGTTATTTTTCAAATTTTTATATTAAAAACGTAACATTAAGTATTAAAATAGAATTATGGAATTAAAAACGTAACATTAAGTATTAAAAATGTAATTTTTTTTATTCGAAATGCATTTATGGAATTATTTATTTCACTTATATCAAGAATAAAAAAGTATACAAATAGATCAACAAATTAAAAAATAAAAAGTTTATAATGAAAAAGTATTTCCTCATATTTTTTTTTAATTAAATGTTTTAAAGTAAAAATAAATAACTCATCTAAGAAATTTTTAAAATCTCGGATGAGATTTTTTCCCCTTATTTTCAAGACAAGGGAATTTCAAAACGTAACCCAACAAATAGTGGTTACACAATATGAAATGAAACTAAAGTTTTTTTAAATCACTTTTAAGAGTTTCATCATAATTTATTTTTCCTTTTATTTACTTATTTAACTATTGATATCAAAAGCATAGCATAAATTTATTACATTAAAAAATTAAATATAAGTTTGTAGTATTACAATAAAGTAAGTTTATACTTAAATTCTTTAATTCATTTCATAAGATGTTGAGACAATAAAAAGGGACAAAGAGAGTAAAAAATAAAAATAAAAATAGCACAATAGTTTAAAGGTATTATATATAAGTGTTCTGCAAATGCAGGAATGTTGAAACCAATAAAGCGAGTGGCTCAAATGCCTGTTTAAATTATTACTCTGCATGATCATTCCAGAGATATGACTTAATATGTTAAAATATAGATCTTATTCGTCCCTGTAACGTAGTTTTCTTTCTTGTGAAATAGTATAGTACCTACAAATAATTTGAAAGATGAAGGCAGGGATCTTTTGTCTTTGACCCAAAATACGTCTCTTTTATCTGAGCCATATAACCCTGGATCAACAATAATAGGCCTAGCTCTTTGATGCCTGCAAAAATGAATTCAAAAACAAAAAAAGCTGGGAAAATTATAAAGACAAGGCCATAAAAAAAGTTAACTCAAATTGTAAAATTTAGTACGATAAGTAACTAACAATAGGTGGCACTTACTCTTTCCAGCCAATATTACTTGTGTGCTCAACAAAGTTCAGATCCCTTGGTAAGAATGATAAAATATGAAGAAGATCTGTAGTCAGCACATAAAAAGACATAAATTAAAACCAACTTCCCCAAAACATAATAATTCTGATACTAACAACAAATTAAAGAAGGCTGTAAGTAATAAGACTGTAAATTGGAGATGATTAGCACATTTTAAACACCAAACAGGCAAGGTAGTGACAATTAACATCATCATCATTTTTGCTCCTTCTCAACATTTGGGTTAGGTGTAACAAAGCCCGGTCATGAATCATTATTAAAAAATTACCCTTAAACCAATAACTTGCAGCTAAAAAATGAATCCGAATACATTTAGAGGTATTTACATAAAAAGCACACAATTCTTATGTATTTAAGCACCTGGCACTTAAATCTTTAATATCACATAAAAAATAACACTATTATCATTTTTTAAAAGTGAAATACATCTTTTAATGTATAGCTTTAAAGCAGCAAAGTGTCATATATGTAAATATTAAAGCTTACATGTGATATATGTCAATACATAAAAATTGTGTGCTTCACATGTAAATTTCTCATACATTTAACTATTACATGCAAGGGTAGAACCAGCATGGGGCACATGCTGCCATCAAGTCGAGTCTACTCCATTGAGTTAACCAATCAGGTGACCCGGCTGGCCTCACTATCCCTCTTTATTTCACGACTCAGAATGAGAGATTTCCCAAAAACTATCACTTGAAGAGGCAGATGATAGAGGAAGCGAAATTGTGTGGATGTCAAAGTCTTAAAATGGTTATATGATGAGTCCTATCATCAGGCTTTCTCTTCTCTCGCCTTTATTTCCTTGGCAATAAACACTTTCCTGCTTAAATCCAATAATGAAAAGCTTTGTTACAAAGTTTTTCAGAAGAGTTTTGACACAGGCCCCCTAAGCTTTCCCCTTTAATATTTGGAGAATAAATTATATTTTTTCTAAAGGAAGTGTAACTCATGTTATATATCAATACTGCAGTGATTAATTATAAATTTTATGAGATTGATTTCTTCATAGTTTAACTTATGCATGAAAATAGATTTATGTGAATCAGAGGTAGGAAAATAAGACAAGTTCTCTTATCTTGCCTACATGAGATTTTACTTCTACTTCACACTAGCAGGTTTCCATAATTCTAGTTTGTTACCTTTCTTCCAAACTTTTTAATGCAATGCAGAAGGAAGCAAAATACTAAGTCAAGTTATAAGATGGTGGTGAGACCTGCAATGCTCTAGGGTGTTGAATGTTAGCCTTTAAAAGAGAAGCACAATACTAAGTTAAGTGTTGCAGAGATGAGAATGATTAGGTGGATGGGTGGCTTTACATTTAGAGACAAAATGCAAAAAGAATATATCCGTGATGGGGTTGGTGTAGCTCTAGTGACAGACAAAATCAGAGAAAGCCGTCTTAGATGGATTGATCACATTAAACGTCGACAATCTGATGATCATATTAGGAGAGTAGATATTTTAGATTCAACTTAAGTTAAGAAAAGCAGAGGTAAACCTATGAAGACTTGGGCTTATTATATAAAAAATGATCTTAATTTATTAGAACTAAATCAAAATATGACACTAAATCAATCAAAATATGACACTAAATAGGACGCAATGGAGAAAAATGATTCATGTAGCCGACCCCACATAGTGGGATTAAGGCTTTGTTGTTGTTGTGTTGTTGTAGAAGGAAGCAAAAGCCAATGAGATTTGAATTTAGTGTTTGGATCTCACAATTCACAATACTCAAAGAATTTAAGGATCACAACTCTTGCAAATCTTGTTATCACGATTTAGCAAGATATAATAGTTGGCAAGCCAAACAATTTACAAGTTTGAATCCTCTCGAGATTTACTAAGGTGATGTTTTGCACATAGTTTTAAAATGATTTAGCCATGGATTTAGCGTAATTCTAGCCAAACATCAAAAAAATGAAAATTAAATCAATCACTCCGTTAAATTGAAATTTTTCACATTTCGACTTTTCATCCTGCTTTCCATGTCTTTTATGGCGTAATTCTGGATTTATTAAATCAAAATGTAAGGCAAATTAAATAATTTGCTTCCACCATCGCTCACGAGCTCATCTTCGTCGCAAAGAGCATCAGATTTACTGGCATAAATACTATTTAAGTTAAATTCAGGTTGAAGCCAAACGCCTAAATTTGGATTTGCTGGATTCGCATTTACTAAATCCGGATTTACATTTACTAAATCCTACATTTAGCCAAACAGCCCCAAAGATTGAGAAATCACAGAAACAAAGATTACCAAAATAAGAAACCTGATCTGAAAATTCAGAGATCTATATTTCACTTTGATTGAACAAGTAAGAATATTAGAGATTGAAATGAAAAAACTAAAGGACAAGTAAGCCCCACCGTTGCAAAGACGTTACATGTAAAATCAGTTCACAGGACACAACATAAAATGAGGATGCCCAAATGTGGAAAAAGTACGATAAAGATTACTGCTTAAAGAAGACCAAAGATGATCAAATTCCGTTCAGTTCCAACTTAAGAAAACACAACTTTTGAATGTCGTTCCAATTTCAATCGAGTATCATGTTCCTAGAGAAAATAAAAATAAAAAAACAGCACTGTTATACTCCAAAAGGCCGACACCCACGATTTCATTATATCCTTAGCTGAATACAATAGAACAAAGGAAGGGGAGGATACCATCCTGGGAAATGAGAGGATAATCAGCAGCATCAAGGTTGATAAACCAGCTCCAATCTTTAACCTCCCTCAACAAAATGGCCGAAGCATGAAGCATGGATGACAGCACCGTCGGCCCCTTGACCGTTACCACTTCAGCATTCGCCATCACCCGCACATTCCCGAACTTAACAAATACCGGTTCGGATCCGACGAACTCCTTCATATCCTGCCGCTCCTCAGCCGATGCGGCGAGGTCGACGTGCAGAAAGTAATAGTTCCACGGATGGTATACGGCCCTGAGAAGCCGCTTGACACGACGCCCCTCACCGCGGGTGAAAGAGATCAAGTAGGCGAGCTTGGGAGGCCGGCGATCCCCGGAAAAAGGAAGGGTGCCAGAAGAGTTGGTGGGGAAGGTACGACCGCGGTGAATGGCTGGTAGAAGTACGAAGAATGCGAGGATAGGGAGGCCGATGAAAAGAGTAAGGGCTTCCTTCCGGTGAGAGAGACCGTTGATAGCGGCGGGGCGGTGGGAATTCCTCATCGGTACCGGAATTCGAAATCTCGGCGATAGAGTTAGGTTGCCGGCATGGCACCGCAACCAGGGTCGCCGGTGCAGAGCTTAAAAAACGGACTCATATCAACATTTATATATTTATTAAAAAATATGAGTTATTTTGTTTTGTTTTTAATTTAAAAAATAATTTGATGGATTAAAATTGAAGAATAATCCAAAATAATAAAAATAACTAGATAATTTTTTAATATTATAAAAAATTTATTTTTTATATTTAAATTAATTTTAACTTATTTAAATTAAGTTAGTAAAATACTTAGTTAAATTTTGGGGTTAAGATTATCTTTAAATTGTTGATTTAGTAGATATTTCCATGCTCTAATTAGAATTATTTTTATGTAATTATATCACATTTAAATTTGAAGGATAAACATTTTTTTATGAATGATAAAGATCACATTCTAAAATGTCGAATTTTATTTAGAATTAGTAATATTTTAAAAGATATTGATAAATATTGTTAAAATAATATTTAAGGAAAAAAAATTATTTCATTTAATTGTCCCCATCCAAATTAAACTCATTTCAATCATCCATTATGAATTTGGTAGGGTGTCGCTAAAGAAAAATTATCAATGAGGGGGTGCCATGTAGGCAATGGTCCCACCGTGGTGCCTACTGACACCCCCTCATTGGAGTACTAATGCATCAGTACTCCTGAGGTAATAATTTATCGTCGCTAAAAGTCATTCAATGGAGATGTAGAGAAGTGGGGGAATCATTCCAATCCTAAATTTGGCTAACCAAATCCTAAATTTGCTAATCTTGCCTTTTCTTTCTCTTAAATTTGATGATTAACAGGAGCTTATGATTTATGATCAGATAAATCATCACGCTCTCCATTATTTCCATCATATTATCAAAATCTGATGTTGAATCGTGATTTGTTTGTGATTCATACCGAAGAGATAGAAGAGAATAATAATCAACAACAAACATTGTGACCAATTTTGTCAATCATAAGTTATTTGTAAATTGATTCTTCTATTTATAGATGAGATGGTACAATATGGTGATGTTATATTCTTACTCGTCTTTAAAGGGGTCTGTAATGAGATATTTATGATATTTTACACAAACAAGCTGTTCTTTGTCTGTCTTTTTTTACTTGGGAGATTCACCATAGTCAGCTTCGGGTTGGTAGGATTAGCTCGGCCAGCTGATCTTGATCGGTATAGATCTGCTCATTCGACTGAGCTTGGTTTGTATGGATCCGTCGGCTGAGCTTGGTCACTATGGATCAGTTCGTTCGGTTGAGCTTGGTCTGTATGTATTGACCGATTGAGTTTGGTCGGCACGGATCGGTCAATTGAGCTTGGTCGATATAGATTGACATGCTGATATGACCCGACTATCGGTCTTGTACTACTGATGAGAAGCTTTTTGACGTACTTGGGATGGTTGGATATGTTAAAGAACCAGATGAGTCGACTCAATTGTGGTGGTTGGCTCGTACACCTTTTTTATCTCGTTTTATGGCTAAGTGTCTCATTCTTATTTTCTTCGGTTACCTTTAGTCTGTCTCGTGGTTCTATCGGCTTTAGCCTTGTTGGCTGGACTCGAGTGGAATCAATATGTTGAACAATTAGGCCTCATGATACTCTGTTAGTGTGTCTTTCTTTGATGCACGCATATTATGAGGAAAAAAAAATGCATTTTATTTTCTTTTTTGTGTGGGATATTTACATGAAGTGTTGGATTTTGGAATATATAAGAAATTGGTGGTATCCATGTAAATGCCCCGTCATAAAAAGTATCAACTAATCCTGCCATGGATCGGTAGCTGAGTTTTGCTCGCCAAAAACCAGAACAATTAAAGACAAGTAGGTCATCCGCCAGCTTCCTTTACTCCTCTCCTCCAATGGGGGCGCGCGACGCTCCCGTTCTATAAAACTTCAACAGACCACAAATTGCTTGAAAATCTCCACCCGCTTCTTCTTCGCCTCCACTCCTCCGTCTTCTTTCCGCTCCGATGGCCGCCTTTCTCTCCAGCATTCGAAGGCTGTACCTCTCAGTCTATAACTGGGCGGTCTTTTACGGATGGTACCCTCCCCACTCTCTAATTCTCCAACTCTAGATCTCTTTCGACCCTGTTCTATCTTCTCGCAGGTTCCAGGTTCTGTACCTAGCTATCAAGGCACTCCAGGAACACGGGCACGAACAGGTTTATGATGCGGTCGAGCGGCCTCTTCAGCTCGCGCAGACCGCCGCTATTTTAGAGGTGTGCTAGATCTCTATTCTCTGTTTCAGATTTTGATTTCTTCGCAAAGTTTCTGATTTTTAAATTCTATTCATTGATTTTTCAGATTTTGCATAGCCTTGCTGGTGAGGATGAACAATCGGCGCGCGTATTAACTGTTTGATACATTTTATCTCAATTTTTTTTTAATTTGTTTGACTTGATTTGATTTTTGTTAAAGGTTTGGTAAGATCTCCGGTTTCGGCCACCCTGCCGCAGATTGCATCAAGGCTGTACGTTACTTGGGGTATCTTGTGGAGTTTCCCGGAGGTAATGATTTGTGTTTAAAACTTGTCGTTCCTGTTGAAAATTCTGCAAAATAAGATTTTTAAGATTAGTACTGTGCTACTTCCAGGTCAGGGCGAATGTTCTTGTTAGTTCTTTGGTTATCAGCTGGTCTATTACAGAGGTATGAAGCAGCACTGTTGTAAATTTCTTGGTACTTTTGGGAGGCTTTTTCTTGTTTGATTAAAGGGTTTTACAGGATAAAACAGGGAAATCATTAATCTAATCTTCATATTTAGATGGAAATATCAAAATTTTGGAAATTATATAATATTTTGGAGTGTTGGATAGTTAAAGAAAGAGATAAAAATTTATATTTTGAGTCCATTTTAGTGTGCTGCAACACTATGGCTAAGTAGTGGAGAAGGTAAAAGTGTATTGCTTAGGCCTTGTTTGAGAATACAGTGACGCTCCTTTTTGGCTTCTTTTTGTTGCAGTTAACGCCAATGCATGGAAAAGTTTTTGTTTGGTGAAACAGTGTCTCTTGAGCATTTTCCAAAGTTGTTTCACAAGAACAACAAATTTTCGTTGTTTTAGATCGTAGTTGGCCTCCACCACTTGGGCGGATGTGGCTTTTAATGAGTGTAGTTGAGCGGAGAAGCTCCTTTGAAATGAAGCCTTAGTCGTGAGATGTTTGTCGTACATAAAACTTAGAAAATTCCTTTAAAATGAAGCCTTAGTCGTGAGATGTTTGTCGTACATAAAACTTAGAAAATTTTTTACTTTTTAAATATCATGAAAATCCAAATGATTATTGTTTTTGAAATTTTAAAGAGATTAATCAGTCAAGGCGACACTTATAGAGTTTAGTTTTATCTTAATATTGAATGTATAAAACTTGACTACTACTTCCTGGCTTAAATAAGTTTCTTGGCTTTAGCTGTGTGTCAATACTCTTAGGAGTTACTTGTCCACTTTTTAACATTGTTATACTTGTCTTATACATTTTAATTTCATTAAATATAAACTCCTTATGTTTATCATCTTTAAATTTTAATTATCTCAAAATCCTTATGCAAAATCATTAACTATGTATCAAATGAAAATTCATTTAATAGATTTGGGGGCTAGCTTATCTCTACCAATAAAGTCTACACACATACATAAGAAATATGATTAAATACTTATAAGTGATAATGATGGACAAACCGCTCAAAACATTAATATTTATAAATTAACCACTCATGTGATTTTTTTGAACTGTTGAATCAATGTATTTATGCGTGTCACGATCAAACTATCAAGAATTTGATAAAAATGAAAAATATGGGTTGGGGTTTTACCATGAATTTCGATATTTGAGTGAGAATTTGAAAAATGGATGAATATAGCTCTTTCATGTAGGTTTATTTTCGTGTGTTGAGCATTCCCCCATTTTACAACGACGATATTAGATCTGTCCTCTCCATTCAAATTCCATTAGCCGCAAATTTTTCTGAATTCATTGTCATTCTCTTCTCTATACCTAACCTTAGACTCTTCATGCCTGCATATAATTCCTAGATTTCAACTGAGCTTTTTTAGCTTTTAAAACCCATGTTTCTTTGTTTGTTGCCGATGAGGTTGACGTAGTTAAGGTAAGCCATATTAGTTGGCTCGGTCAGGTGCGAGGGTAACGCCTCCGCGTTATGGTACAAGGTATTTTTGTAATTACATATTATACCCTAGGGTTATATATATATATTTGTAACCCTAAGGGTATGTACTGTTTTCATGAAATCAAAAGAAGCCGCCGCTCATTGCTCTCGAGGACATAGGCACATTGCCGAATCTCGTTAAATCCTTGTGTTCGTTCTTGATTGTTCTGTTGATTCTTGGTTTCTTTGCCCTAATTTCTCAGCACCATGTAATCATGTTTAAAGCAGTTGAAAGTTCACAAATTTGACTTAACAAATACAAACAAAATGTTGTGGCTGAAATATCCCAAGCTCAGTTAGCATGAATTTCAACACTAAGCTGGAATTAATCTGCAAAATTTGTCTCTTGTTTAGTTTTCATCACAGAAAATTTGGATTCAGCTAAGGAGCTCTTTCATTCTCATCTCTCTTGGCAGATAATTAGGTATTCGTTCTTTGGCTTGAAAGAAACTTTTGGTGCTCCACCTTCTTGGCTCCTATGGCTAAGGTAAGCTTTAATTTTGCTGCCATATTTTTAAACCCAGCAGTACACTAACGTTCACCATGAATTTAACTTCTGCAGGTATAGCACCTTTTTGGTATTATACCCAACAGGCATCTCTAGTGAGGTTGGCCTCATATACAGTGCCTTACCGTTCATAAAGGTATTTTCCTAATTACTTAGAAGATGTATAGTCAGATAGAAAAATGTTATGTCCGTCCTCTGGTTGTCCGGATGATGGGCGTGTTGTGATCCACGCTGCCGTCTGGATATATGGTGTCTAGACGTGATATTTTCTCACAGTCAAAACCGTTAGGACTGTATTTGCTACGAAGACACACATGGAGAAGAAGAAGGGAAATTTACGTATGCACCGTTCAATTCTAATAAAATACATATCTAACATCTAAAATTTGATAGTTACATTTATAACACGGCTTTAAAAACTTTACATACATATGTGCATTTAACTTTTAAAAAGTTAGTAAAGTGGTATTTTTGATGTGATGTTAAAAGACTGGATGTAAATATTAAAGTTTAGGTATTGGATGAGCAAATACATTAAAATTGTATTATGCATGTAAATGCTCAAATCATAAATTTTTTTTTCAATTTTAACCTCTTGGGTCAGATCATGTAATTTTCTTGATTGCATGGCAGGCATCTGAAAAATATTGCTTGAGAATGCCTAACAAGTGGAACTTCTCTTTTGACTATTTCTATGGTGCTATTCTGGTTCTTGGTATCTATGTTCCAGGTAGGCTTCTGTCTCCTCATCCAGTAACAATAAAAAAATTACATTCTGGACACATTTGTAAATCAATAGATGTAAATATTTTCCTGCAGGCAGCCCACATCTGTATAATTACATGCTCGGGCAGCGCAAGAAGGCTCTTTCTAAAGGCAAGAAGGATTGAACTGGAGCCCCGGCCAAGTGCACAAAATTCTTCCTCTGATATCTGTAGATTTTTCTTTCATTTTTTATTTTCTTTAAAATTCGTGACATTTCTCTGTTAATGAAGAATCTGCGAAGTCATCACTGTTGGCTATTTATGTTTAAGGGCTTTAGATTTGTTCAATGAATGGTTTATACATGTAAACTATGGGAAGGGAAGTATCTATAAAATGACTTTTTTTGGGGGGCATTTACATAAACACCACTACATTTTTATGTATTTAGATATCTAATACATAGATATTCATGTTCACATGCAACCACTGGCATCACCATCATTTTAAAAGTGAAATATTTATTTTATGACAGGTTTATGACACCAAAGGGTTATAAGTGTAAATATCAAATTTTGAGTGTTAGACATATAAATACATAAGAATTGTGTGGTGTGTATGCCAATTTTCTTTTTTTTTAATGAGACATTTTTTTCCATCTCTGGTTTACTGTATAGTTATTATATTCCAACATGTATCGTTGCATTTTAATGTATGTAAAAATTAAAGTATAGGTATACAGCACAACTCCAATGTATCTGCATATCTAACACTATTACGTGCATGCCACTCCATTGGTTAACATCGTTATTAAATTCTGAAGAGGAAAATACACATTTTCATCCATAACTCATGACACTAGAGTGTAATATATATAAATATCAAATTGCTGGGGTTGTAAATGTAATTTGTTTTAAATTTCCTGCACTTTTCACCATAATTACAAATTTCCCCCTTATAATTTCAAGCCTACAAAGCAATTATTATGTAATGTGGACAAATGTTTTTGGACTGGACGAGTACGTCTACGTAACGGTTCTCTCAAGATGCCAAGGAACCGATCAAATAACATATGTTATCTAAATAACGTGACATTAGACGTAACAATAAATTAAATTTCCCTTCGCCCTTCTTTAATCTCACTTAACATTTCGTTCCCTTTCAGGTTGAATTCAAAGAAATAAATTTTTTTGAATTTACATATCTCCCACCTAAACTTTAGGACCCGTTTGGGGCACCTTATAAGTGCGGAGAAGTTTTTGAAAACACGGCGTAACTGTTTGGTTTGTGTGTTTTTTAAAACACTGTCTCCCACGTTTGAGTTTGTTACACTAAATGCAGGCCGCGGGATGACCCCCGCGTTCGACCCGCAGACCACGTTTAGTTTTTACATTTTTACCCATCAAATCTTTCATATCACCATTTTAACTTGTAAAAGTGAAATACACACTTCAATTAATCTCATTAATTCAATCACCACAATAATTAACCACACTTCACAATTTTACAAAATCAACCTCACAATTCACTTCAACTAGTTACAATTGACCCCTCCATAAGAATTTTTTTTGCAAAATCAGTAAATATTATTTGAAACCTATTAGTCCTAACAACTCAAATATTACACTGTTACACATATTATATAAGACTAATCTTTAAAATCATAAATAAAATAACAAAAATCAAACCAAATGCACTCTGCCCCTCGCCGAGGAAGGAACTAGATAGTCCCGCGAGTTAAACGACTCCGACAGCTCCATGGACTGCAGAGGCATCGGCAAAACATTCTCGCGACAGACCGGACAGCTATCATGCGAATTAAGCCACATATCAATACAGCCTACATGAAAAGAATGCCCGCACTGCGCCATCCGTCTCACTTCCTCTCCTTCCTCGAACGCTGATATACAAACCGGGCATTCAGCAGCAGCTGCGCCCTCCTCCTCTTCCTCATCCTTCCTCTTCATATAAATATACGCAGGAGGCATCCATCGCTGTGCTATATCGGACTCGTTGAACTCGTGGCCGAGCGCGCCGCGTGATAGAATGAATTGGCGAAGCCAGGAGCAGCAGCCGACAGCGACGGCGTTGGTGAGGAGGAGGATGATGGCGATGAGTGAGAGGCCGATGACGAAGTAGTAGTAGTCGAGTTTGGTGGATTGGTTGGTGTGATGGGGGGGAGGGGATGATGGTGGGGGAGAAGCCATGCATTTGGGGAGGGAAAATTGGAAGAGTTGGGATATATTAGGCGTGCCGGCCAAGTTTGTTCAATGCATGAGGGATTTATTAGTTTAGTAATGGCTGTGTCGTCGTTAGTGATGGTTGGGGGAGGGATTCTCGTTGTTTCCCTTGTTTTGATTATGCTGATGGTAGTTAAATAAATGGGCAAGAAAATGAAGCAATTACATTCGCAGACAAACCCATCGAAACTTGTTATTTACAAACCAACCCACCTCTTTTAGCTAAGTTCATCATGAAACTTCAATCTGTATTTTTCATTTGTATCTAATTCTCAATGGTTTGGTCGTGGCATGAGTTAAAAAGTATCAAGGTGGTGGTTAATTTGAAAATATCAATGTTTCGGGTGGTTAATTTGTATATAAATTTTACATGAATTTATGGGGGATTAAGTTAGGTTATAATTAGCACTAATTAAGACTATAAATGAAGGCTAATCATATGTCTTTTTATGCTACCTAAGATTTTCATATTTGATTAAATTTTTCTTAGTTTAACTTTGGAAAAGTAAGATACACCATTCAAGTATAGATAAGGTGTCATGTATGTAACAATTCAAGTTTAGATGTTGGATATGTAAATATATTGGAATTGAGTGGTATGAATGTAAATCTTCCATAGCTTAACCTTTATACACATATTTTGATGTGAATATTACACTAAAATGTTGTAAATATAAATATCCAAACTTAGATGTGAGAAATATAAATACATTAGAATTATGTGGTATGTGAAAAATTTTCTCTTTTTCTTTTCAATATTTGAATTTGAATTAAATCATGCAGAGGCGATGATGGCGGCAGCCACCGGATGGGCAAGTCGGCGGCAACTGTGATAGAGATTCCGGTCGGTAAGGAGCCAAGGGAGCCTTAGATCATTAGAGACAAAGATGGGCGGCGTTTGAGCTGCATTAATAAATTTATGCATGTAATTAGTCAGGATGAACACAGATTTAAAAAGTAATTAATTTGTCTTTTAGCTTTATTTAAAATTTGGATTATTATATATATATATATATTATATTGGATAAAATAATGATTAGGGATCATGTGCTCATATGTTTTTTGATTAAACATTTTATGATAAATTAGGCTCCGTTTGGGGTAGCCTATTTGGTGCGGTGCGTTTTCAAAACGCACCCAGGACCGTTTGGGTAAACTGCGTTCTGACAGTTTATTCAAAAAATTGCTTTTTCAAACAGTTGAAATTATCTAGGTCGCTTACAGCTTTCTAACTACATTGGTTTTTTCAATATATATATATATATATGTATTTCCAAATGAAGGCATGAATGGTCCCAAAAAATCTAATCCCCACACATCAAAAATTTTAATTTCCAAATTAAAATTTAGAGGCATCACGGGAGGGAATCAATCAAATATTTTACTAAGGCAAAAGAAATGGAGAATACAAAGCTTATACATAGAGATAAGCCCTCATCTTCCTTCTATGACCTCCCTCTCAAGCGACACCTTGATACAAGACCTTAAGATGCTCTCCTTCTCTCTAGCTCTCTAGCTATTCTCTCTTCCTTCGTGGTAGCTTAAGATCTCCTCTTTTCTCTCCTAAGCCTCACACCCTTAAGATCTCTTCCCTTTTTCTCCTAAGCCTCACACCCTTGGTTCCTTTCCCCTCAACCCTCCCCTACAAGACACCCCTTCTATTTATAATAGAAGGGGCCTCCCCTAGTAGACCGGGTCTATCTAGCCTAATTATTGAGATTCATTACAACAATTCTCCCCTTGAATCTCAATTACAAAGCTCCATGGTAAAGATTCATTCCACTCGGTCCCGACGGGCCCTTAGCCCTTGCTTGAGTTTGTTAAGTCCAAACACCCTAGACAAATTCCTGTAGTGCTTCACTTCCAAAAATCTGGAGTTGCCGTATTCTTCTCTGCAGCACTGCCGAAGCCTTCCTCTAGGATGTCGCAGAAATCCTTTGCGTGAGCGAACTCCTGCTCCGCATGTTCTACGTCACGAACAGAACCACGCGCATTCTTCCTCCAAACAGAACTGTGCACGCTTTCTTCTTCAGGGAACCACACGCCTTCTTCCTCGCCGAACCGCACAACCTGCGGTGCTAATTCAGTTGATCAAAGCTTCCACTGCTCACTGAATCTGTCGCGATTCGGCTGCCTGCGATGCGATCCGCTTGCTCCTCTGTTCGTGAATGCTGAACTCCTCTTCTTCGTCGCTGGCCGCGAACACCTTTATGCGGACACCTCTAGCCAAGAAGTATGAATCTTCCCACAGACGACGCCAATTGTTGTGAGATATGTACTTTCTAGCATAGAAATGAGACGAAAAAGAACACAAGCAAACACAGATCGTTTGCGTGGTTCGATCCAACTGGATCTATGTCCACGGAAGGGAATCAATCAAATAGTTCACTAAGGCAAAATAAATGGAGAATACAAAGCTTATACATAGAGATGAGCCCTCATCTTCCTTCTATCACCTCCCTCTCAAGTACAATTCTCAAACCCACACAAACTCAATTTAGAAGCTTATAAAACTTTCCTCGAGATTTGATTCATAACCCATAAAACTATGAGGTATTTAGACAAGTTGAGAAGTAATCAATACCACACATTATTCGACAACAACACTAATCTAAACCTTTCATTCTTCATCTACCACACCGACCACACACATGCATCACATGTCTCACTTAACATTGACTTTCATCATATCATATTTTCAACCAATTCAATTATTCAAAATAAAATTATTTCTAAAATAAAATAAGTTTATTTCTAACCTGAGTATTAAATTCATTTGGCTCCATCATATTCCATATCACAACATTCATAAACTTATCATATTATTAGTTCTTAGCGACCTCTAGTTATATTAACTAAAAAGCAAATTGACATTAATACTCTGTATTTTCTTTCCTTCATTGCTAACTCCGCCCAAAGCAACTTGGTATTTGTATTTACAAATCAACTCAACCATCCTCTTTCATCCATTTGTCAAATTCTCACTCAAATATCAAAATTCATGATAAAATCCCATCGCATATTTTATATTTTTATCCAATTCTCAATAGTTTGATTGTGGCACACGTAATTACATCAGTTTAGTCGTTTAAAAAAAAATTATCTGCGTGCCAGACCTGTAAAAACCAATATTTCCGATGATCAACATGTAACTATCCCAGATTATTATTATTAGGAATTTAAGAATGTGACAAATAAAGCTCTCAATGATCAGATCAAAATGACTTGCATGCAATCAACATTCCACCTCATAAATATAAAACAAAAATTTAAAAATAACTTAGATCATTAGAATAAATATAATGGTATTTTCATAACATACTTCACAATACATATTTTGAACATATTAGTCCACTTCACATAAAATTAAAGAAAGTGTACATAGATAAATCTGTTGGTGCTAACTCTAAGGAGATTTAATGGTATAGAAAGAAGAGAATACGACATCAAAGAGCCAATCGATAGAAGACCAAAAAGTCCACTTATCCAGATGCAGTCACCTGAGCTAAAGCTAAAGGCTAGCTGGATGTAGCTGTTTGAGCCAAAGAGGAAGGTTAATCGAGCCAGGAAAAGGTTAAAAGGATTGCCGATTAATCCAAATATGAACTATCGGAATAAAAAAATAAAAAAAAGCATCACAGCCAACCATTACAAGAAATCTAACCGAAGGCAGCAACCTACCTTTTAGTAGATTCGACCCGAGGGAATATCTAGTTCTTCAATATCACCAGTCATCTCACAGAAACCCCTGTGGCTTCTCATTAGAGATAAAAAATTGATGATACAACAAAGTTTTGTAATCATCCCACAGTCTCTTCTCATTGAGAAATGAGATATATATCGGGTTACAGTGATTCACCCTGATCTATTAGTCTGGTCTTGCTTCGTTGGCAGAAGCTTCTCATCTAGAGATCGAGGGTTGATAACCAGATTAAATTAATAGATCGACAAAGCCTAGTTGATCAAATAAGTCCCATTTACTTAAAGCCAAATAAAGTTCAGTCAATCGACAACACAAACTCAGTCTAGCCGGCCAAACCAACCTTATCAAGTCGAAGCTAAACAAACATCGTTGAGCAATAAACTCATATATGTAAAATACATAGAATATTCTGTGCAACCCCAATTAAAGTTGGGGCATAAATGTAATATCACTATATTTTACCATCTCCCTTATAAATATATAGATTATTTAATGAGAATACAAAAGAAAGACACAACTTATCACTGTTCATTACAATTCTCTCCTCTTTCAGTCTCTCTCTCTCCTCTCTTTCTTACGCTCTATTCATTTGAATATGATTCACTTTGTAAAATTGACTTGATGATTGGGAATAGCCTATCAATCAGCTACATTTGATCTCAGTTAAATTAAAATGAGTTGAAAGTGACTCAAATAAAGTGGTTTGAAATCAGATTCATATATTCATTTTTATATACATAAATGTTTATACTATATATATA